ATACATACATACATACATACATACATACATACATACATACATACATACATACATACATACATACACACATACACTCATACACACATACACACATACACACATATACACATACACACATACAAACATACACACATACACACATACACACATACACACATACACACATACACACATACACACATACACACATACACATACACACATACATACATACATACAACCATACAAACATACAAACATACATACACACATACACACATACACGCATACACACATACACACATACACGCATACACACATACACACATACACACATACACACACATACACACATACATACAGCCATACAAACATACAAACACACATACAAACATACATGCATACACACATATACATACATATGCATACATATACATACATACACACACATACACATACATACATACATACATACATACATACATACATACATACATACATACATACATACATACACACACATACACATACATACACATACATACACATACATACACATACATACACATATAGATTCACATACACATACATACACATACATACACATACATACACATACATACATACATGCATGCATGCATGCATACATACATACATAGATACATACATACATACATGTGTGGCCACGGTTCAACGGCCAGGTTTGTAAGGATAGTCGACTTTTGTTGACTTTTGATCATGCGGGTTCCTTCTCAGAAACACTTGCATGGCTGAACTTGTGAGCCTGTCTCTGCCCTCAACACAGTTCCTACTAAGCGGGACCTCTAGCAGTGCCCGTTTGGTTGCTTTTGTTGGAGAGGGTCTCCCTTTTAAAAGGAACTACTAACCTGAAGGACCCCCCTCTTTCCCGTGGATGTTTTCGCTATGTCGCCCTGAACATGGTTAAACTTTCGGTCGCACTTTGTCAGAAGACCAAAACTGGGTCTTGACTCTTAGAGGGTTGGGAAGAAAATCCGGGTTACTTCCTGGGTGTGGCCGTTTTTAGGAGCCTGAAAACATGGGGAACCCTGGAAAGGATGGTCTTCTCTTTGATGGCCATTTGAAGCACCCCCTACTCCCCCCTGCAGACGAATCTCCTTGGGTTGGGACCCTTGCACCCGGTTTCGTTTGTTGCGTTCCTTTCGTTTATTTGGGTGGCTCGTTTTTTCGTGAGGTAAAGGGAACCTACGAAACCACTGCCACAAATGGGGGTCGCCACTGGCGACTCACGTGCGGGACTGACTCAATCGTGCATTGGTTGATCCTGCCCCATTTGTGGGGCTTCGATCTGAGCCATTCCTTTTCGAGGGATGGGGGGAGGACCTCTCATTCCTTTCTTGGGGTCGCATCAGAATCCTAGAGGATATTTATCTCTGGGGCCTTCATGTCTTTTTCTATGCCCAGGCGCGCTCAACATGCATCCGAATCTGAACCTTTGGTTTCCTGTCCCCAGATCTGTGCCAAGGTCTATGGCACAAAGACGATCCCGCAGCCCCCAAGCAGGTTCTCCGAGGTTGATCCATCGGACTTCCCACAGCGACACGCGACGGACCCGCGGGCTTCGGCCGCGATCGCTTCAGGCGATCCACCCGGACAGCATGGAGGACCTCTTCCTGCCAGAGGCGTTGGCGCAGGAACTGAAGCAGCCGCTGGGCCGGGTTCGTCGCGAGGACGGGGGAGGTGGGTCGCGAGGACGGGGGAGAGGTGGGGAGGGTTTCGGTTGGTGTTGAGAGAGGGGTGCAGCCCGGCGTGGTGATGGGGAGGCCACATCTGTTCTCGGACATGCACCAACCATGGCCACGTGCTCATATATTTTTATACGCTCTGATTTCTGAAGGTTGGAAACAGTGCAGGTGGATCATGAGTAGGGGGTGTGTGTGACCTTTTATTGTTATATATTTTTATATATGGTCACCCCCCCATGATCCGCGCCCGGCAAGAACACACTGATATATATATATATACATATATATATATATATGTATATATACATATATATATATATGTGTTTGTGTTCTTTGGGGACCGTTGCTGAAAAGGGGAAAGGAGGTTGGTGAACTAGCCTCTCGAACCAGAACCTTTTTCGGAGGTCTGGCAAAACCATTCTGCGCACGTCTATGATTCTTGAACAGTGGGCAGCCTCTTGTTTGTTCTTGGGAAAAGTAAGGAGGTCGCCGGGTAGGAGTTTAACAGCTGTTTAAAGTTGGGTAGTGACAGAAGTGGTGTCTTGTTTTCCGCAGGTTTGTTTCGTTCAGGTCTTTTGGACCAACCTTTCCAGCCTTTCAGCAGACCATGGTACATGGGGGAACACCCTCAAAGTGGTTGGACATTCCCCATGTTTTCAAGTGAGCTTCTCCGGTTCAACAGGTAGCGCCCGGGGGGGGGGGGGTTATAGCAAGGTCTAAATATATACATATATAGATATATACATATATAAACATATATAAACATATACACATATGCCTGCACACTTGGGCTCCGGCCGGCACTGCTCATGCCTGTGTTTTTCATTGTTCTTCCAGCGCGCCGAAAGGTAGTTTGGCAGCAGGTTGCTGAAGAAGTTGTTCCACCCGCACTCTGGTGGTGCAATCACCAGAGTCCTCCCTCCCATTCAAGGGAAACCCTCAATGAGCTGCGTCATTTGCGGGGACCTATTCTCCCAAAAGCGAGTCAAAGGGTAAACCCAGTTTCAAACATCCCTGACAGTTCTAGGGGTTGATTCCCCATTGTTTTAAATCATCGTTCTTTTCAAAAACCGGCTGTTTCCCCAGGGTTTGGGGTGGTTTTTTACAAAGAAGGATGCCTGGAAAGAATGGGGAAGGTACCCCTAGAACAGTACACTCTAAATGGTGGTTTAGCGGGACCCGGGAACCCCGCTCAAAAAAGCCAAGCGCTTGCCAGCATCAAGCTGTTCGTTTGAAGGCCTGGATGTTTTTCGCGGGGGTTCAACGTTTACACAGTTGCAACCGACCCCAACACCCCTTGTTGCCACCCCCACCCCCAACCCCCCACCCCCCCAGCCAGGGCGCTGGGGCCATAGGTGTCCGTTTTAGGTTAGTTTGATCAAAAATAGATGGGTTCCACTGGTTTAGATGGGAGTTTCTTGAATTGAACCAGGGAAACCCATCTATTTTTAACCAAAAGGCCACCTATGGCTGAGGCGCCCTGCCCAAGGTGCTTTCAGCTTTTCGTGCAGAACTCCAGAGAAGCCGCCGCGGAGGCGCTCTACGACGCCTTGACCGAAAGCCTTCCCACGAAGCCTGGAGCGAGATGGACGGACCGGACGGCGGTTTGGTTTTGGCTCTTCGAACCCGAACAGGGCGGAGCGTGCCCGACAATAAAAGAGGGCGGGGTTTTGAGGGATTCGCCTTTTGAAGCTTTGGACCTCTGGGATGCAAACGGCTCCTGACTTGGCTTGCGCCTGAACTCTTGTTGTGAGAAACCTGGGGGGGTGGGAAGAGGTGTTATAAGTTATAACTATGTTTAGGTTAGTTTGGTTGACAAGTTGCAGCGGAATCCTTCCGGCCTGGACGTCTTATATTCGGGTCCTGGGATTATTTGAAGGCCGCCCGTCTCCGACCCCTTTAGGGTCATGATCTAAGAATTGGAACCCAGTGGATTGGTAAGCCGTTGGTGAGTTTTGGGTGTAAAACGTCAGGGGCAGGCGACTCGGATTCGTAAGGTCTTTCTTAATGCGAAGTAAGGTCTCAGGCCACTTACAAAGCTTTCCGGACCTGACTTCGGATTCGGGTTCCTGTTACTGCCATTTGCTTAAAATAATATGTTTTAAACTTTCCCTTGTTGGTTTTAAAGGGAATCTAGCACTACTGGATGTAGCTTTATTTTTCCCAGGCAGCTTAAGCAAATGCAAGGTTATTTTTGGGCATCCCATCAGGCGGAACGAGATGGCCGGCCTAACCTGGCTGGCTCCTGGCTTGTTCCAGCGGGAGATCCTTTACTATCACTTGACCATTGAGAGGTTTCCAGAGGATTGGGGATTGGGGTCAATGAAGGAAGAAACACGGGTTCCAAGTTCGGTTCTTTTTTTTGTGCGGGTTTCCCTTTAGCAGCCTCACTCAAACTACCTGTAAAAAGGGAAATCACATGCACCTGGGGGGTAATATAAGGTGTCGTCTTTTAAGCTTGCATGTTTAGGGGTAGTTTGAAGGGACGCCAAAAGGAACGAATCCAAGTACCCCTCCCCTGCGAAAGCGGCGATCGGCCGCCGCTTTTTCGCGAAATTTACATATTTATTTATTTATTTATTTATTTATTTATTTATTTATTTATTTATTTAATTTATATATTTATTAAAAAGCGGAAATCCGCCAGCGCGATCTGAGGAGCAGCTTCAGCACTCCTAGGCCGATTCTGTCCATTCGCCTCATCACGGGCATCAGCACCTGGGTCAAACATGACCCGTTGCTTTCTGGTTGATATAGCTGTGGTCAATTGGGGGGGGGGAAGGTTGGGGGGGGGGGGAGGACGGCATGGTTGGACCCTTCCTTTTGGGGGAGTACCCCTCGAATCTTCTAGGTGTATCGAGTCCGGCGTGTAGTAAGAGCTATATAGTGTTTTTTTTTTTTTTTTTTTTTTTTTTTTTTTTTTGGGAACTACGAACCCAAAGTCACCGAGTGAAACGGGCACACATGTGAAGCTCTCCTGCTTTTGTTGGATAGCTTCTTAACAGGTATGTTGTTTGGGCATTAAAAAGATGACCTTTTCCCGCGGACCAGAGACAGGGACACCGAACTCCGTTTTGGGAAGGTGGATAAAACTCACGACCCCCTTAGCGAAGATTGGGAATGGAACCCCGGGCAAAGATCCCCGAGCTCCTTGCCAGGGTAAAGTAAGCGATCTCCATGAAGCTCATTGGGAAATATCTGTGTTTCCGGTTTAAAAATAGTATGCCCAGTGGGCCCGTTTCGGTTTCCAGGTAAGTTGCCCGTTTCGGCCCGACGGGTGTGGGCCCGTTCGACTCGAGAAGAGGCAGAAAGCCTTTCATGGTGACCTCGCCGCTTTTTATATTTCCTTGGGCTCCATGATTCATTTCGTGGGTGACATAGTGCAGAATGGGCCATTTGGTGTTTATCCTTTTATGACCGTTTGCTTCTTGCGGGGCCAGCACAATGCTTGTTTTTGAATTTTGCATCATGCCATATTTTTCCTGGGAAATTCGCCAGCTGACTTGCGCCTGGGTTTTGGCTGGTCGGTTCGGGTTGGTCTTGTGGCAGGTTGCTTGGCTGCTGGATTTTGGCGGGGTGTCGGGTGGGTTGTTTCCCTCGGCATCACAGAAAGTGGTCCGAAAAGAAGTTTTACACAGTGGGCGCCTATTTGTTCCGGCAGTGGCGGTTTTCTGTTTCGAAACGATATGTTGAAGGGAACCTCCAGTTTCAAAGGCAACTCGAACTACCTTCGGGGGCGTGGGTGAGGTCATTTAGACAAAAAGAAGCGAAAAGACGTGAAAGATCCCAAAAGAAGGACAGATACGAAATGCGTAACCCGGAGTCATAAACCCATCCTATTGATGCCTCCAAAAGTGATGAACCCCGCTCTAAAAGGTGACACCCCCCGATCAAAACATCAAGGGTTTCTATTTAGATCTGGGGTTCCCATTGGCCTCTGGTACTTGGGCGACTTCGGCGGCTCTTTGAAAGGATTCCCCCCAGTGTTTTTTTTGGTAGTCATGGGAATCACACGGATTCTCCGCAACCGGGGCGGCAAGCGTCAGGTTTAGGCAGACAGCTGTACCCACAGTGGTTTCATTGGTTTAGCTGAATTGGAATGCAACACAATCAACCCATCAATTGGGTGAATTGCTCTGGGTTTAATTGACATCGCTTTAATTGGTTTACTGGGCTTACTTGACACATTACTATCAAATGTTACCACTTCTTTCCGCGCCGGCATCGCATCGCACCCGTCGGTTTGTTCGAGCCGACTTGTCTCAACCGTCCGTCCGGCCGTCGGGTTGAGGCAACCTCATCCTGAACTGCGGGGACCCCATCTCCCTGCGCCGCGCCGCTGAGGTCATGGCCTTTCAGCACCTGGACCGAGAGGCGAATCAGCAGCGAAAACAAAAACCTCGGAAAGAAATGCGGAGGTTTGGGAAGCCTGTTGGTTTCAGGATGGTCCGTGTTGCAGGTGGTTTCAGGGTTGGTTGGTTTTGAATTATGTTTGTTGTTTTTGGTGCCGGCGCCTGAACCGCCCCTGTGTTGTTGTAGTTTTTTCCGGTCAACAGCTTTCTGGAGCCCTTTGTGCTCAGGTTTCAGGCCGTGGTCAGGCGCCGGTCCCGCCCAGGGCCAGGCGCTAAGCACCTCCGCTCCACTGCTTGCGCGCAGCCATGCTGTCACGACCATGGTAAGCACATCCGCTCCATCGAGTGCGCACAGTAATGCATTTCGTCACGGACATGGTAAGAGCATCCGCCGGAATGCACATGATAAGCACATCCGCTCGACTGTGCGCGCGCAGCAATGCTTTTCGTCACGGACATGATAATGAGCGCATCCGATCTCCTGCGCATACGAGTGGCGACACGCCAATCAGAAGAGCCTCGTGTTCGATCGCTTCGGCGACTTGTTCAGCAAGGCATAGCCAGTTTTGATATCTGTCCGACGTCCGCAACTGTACCTGCCGCGTGAAGGAGCTTCACTTTGGTGATTTCGCCCTAGCAAAGCGCAAAAACATCGAACAAGAGAACACCGTTGTGAGGGCTTGAGCGCACTCATGTTGTCGAGTTGCGGCACCAGTGTCCGTTTCGCTGAGGCGAAATCATCGTTTCCGAAAACGATGGTTCAGACATGACTGCGAAAACGCAGGGGGGGGGTTCGGGCGCCGACACTTTGTTTTCGTGTACCAGCTGCCCTCTGAAACAGCACTCCTTTCGAGTGAGTTTGGCTTGACATGGGTATGTGTCAAAATAGGGGGTGCCCCAAAATGGTGGTTTTCCTTTTGGCTTCCCTAAACCAAGCGGAAATGGGGCCCAAAAGACCACCCCTGAACCATTCAAGGTTCTTAGACACTTACAAGAGTAGATGTGTCTGATTGTGTTGGTGGTGCGACAGGCAAATTAGTTGGAATGACCCCGAGTTTCTCATTCCCTACCTGAATACCCCTATAAACCATCCAGCTGGTGGACCCATCGCACGGATCGCGCTCGAGCAGGTGAACGTCTCTCGGCTGGAGGTCGCGCGTGGCTCGGCGGTTTTCCTCCGTGGAGGACTTGGGGTCAATCCGAGTTGTTTTGAGGGTATCATTTGGAGGGGGTTAGGGTTAGGCTTAGAAGGGTTAGAAGGGTTAGAAGGGTTAGAAGGGATAGAGGTTAGAAGGGTTGGAAGCGTTGGAAGGGTTAGAAGGGTTAGAAGAGTTAGAAGGGCTAGAAGGGTTAGAGGGGATATTCAACAAAGCCACTTTGGGAATTCGAAATGAGCTTGGGTCAAAATGTCCAGTTTACGGTGAATGCGGAGTTCGGGACATAGGGGGACTCACTTTATCAAACCGGGGGGACGGAACCCTCTTAGGCCCACGTCAAAAAGTGGGAACCGCATAGATATGTTCACCGCGGCTACCCCAGATGCCTCGGTCTCTTCAGCCTCCTATGGGTTTATTGGTTGGATCCCAACCCCCCAACCTTTTCAGCATGTTTTGGTCGGACTCTTTCCAGTTGTGCAGATCTCATTGGGACGCTTTGTTTCTGTTCCGGATGGGAGAACCTTTGATTGGACAAAGTTGAACTGTGCGCTGCCAGAATCTAGGGGGTCCTACTTGCTACCAATCCTCCACTCATGAGTCCGCTCGGGGGTTTTGCCCAACCCCCCCCTTCATCCCGGCCCCAGTCTCCCGGACCTGTCGCCGGCTGCTGTTGAGGCGACGCGATGTTGGCTGCGATCGAGATCGAGGTGGGGGTGAACTACACCGCTCGCATGCACGCGGGCCTTCAGGCCTGGCCCGGGCGAATCCGGAGCAAGCTCGAGCGGGGCTGAGCGGGCGAGGGAGCCCGGGGGGGAGGGGGGGGGGGGTGGGCGACCCAACGCGGGGGAGGAGGGGCCTGGCTAGTGGGTCGGTCAACCAAGCATAGAATTATAGCTTGATTATGGGCCACTATCCACTGGGCCTGAGGCCACAGGTGAGCCATCAAATGAGTAGACACCCTGTGGCGCTGGGACAAAGCACGAACGGGTGCAAACGGGATGTTGTCCAGTTTGGTGGACCACCCAAGTGCCACAAGTACGTCTTCCATCAGCCTCAAGCGTAGAGGCATACATTGGATCAAGGAAAGGCTCACCTTTTTGGCCCTCACCGGCCCTTCTTTCCCTTTTCGCCAGAAAGAAGTTGCAACTTTTCGCTGGTCGGATCAGTTTGGCCCAGGCATAGGCAGGTGTTCCGAAGGTGCTCTGAACACCAGTCGAAGTAGGATAATGACACTCCGCCACATATCCTGCACGTTTTTGAAGGGGGTGCCAGCAAGAAGGAATTTGCAGGTCCTCCCACAAAGGGATTGGTTCCTTCTGGTCGAACCCATCCATTGAGTCGTTGCTCGGAAGATGTGCCGGGAAGACTCACCTGGCAAACCGTCCAGGGATCGCATCAAGTTTGCAGAGCTGAGAACTGCACGCCTCTCACAGGCCCAACTTGAAAGCCTGTAGGCCTGCAGGGGGGGGGGTACCCCCCCTCATGTAGCGGCCCTGGGCGACTTGCGGAGAACGGCCGCCGAAGCTACAGCTCCGGCTCAGGCGCTCCTGAGCTACGCCGCAGGGGCGTTCCTCTTTGTCCGCAAGGAGTATGCCATCCGCATCAAGACGGCGCCTTTGGAATGAATAGAAATATATATATATATATGTATATATATATATAGGTGTATATATAGATATATACATATCTATGTATGTATATATATATAACTGTATATATATGTATATATGTAATATGTGTTTTTTTAGAGTGAGTTTTTCAGACCTTTTGAGGACTGTTGGCAGGGTTCTTCATGGACTACTTTATTGGAAACAAGTCTGGAAAAGCAAAACTCCCCCCCGGGCTTAAGGCTGTCCCTGCTTGAGCCAGGGTTTCTGGGGTGCAGCTCAATGCGAGTGAATGTTTTGTTGAATTTGCGTGCAGTGGAAGCATTTGGCTGTCAGCGTTCCGTGTCGGCCGCCAACATAGCGGTCGGGGCGCCCGAATTTCTATTGCCCATAGGTAAGAGCTTTGTTCAATGAGCGACTGTTTTTATATTTACAGAAGGCTACAGTCAAGGCCTGGCGGACACATTTTTGGGGAAACATGCTGAACTAGGGGCCAAATCGAGGAAGGAACACCCCCAAGGCGCTATATATAGGGCCATGACATGAAGGTGGTTGAGACGAAAAACACATGCGGCGTGGGAAAACGAGGTGACTGAGTCCAAACGAGCGCAGCATTGGTCCACTCGAATGGCCCGAGTCTGAAAGAATCCCAAAACCGCAGCGTCTTTGGGATCCTCACCCTTCCCACAGAAAATCGCTCGGCAGATTTTTCGATTCTTCGGGCAAAGTCGACCTCGATGCCGTCCGGGGCCTTTTTTGCCGTCCCCCTGGCCGGGCGGTACCTCGGGCGTCGGGCGGGCCCGGAGGTACTCCGGAGCTGGAGCATCGCAAACTCCACGCGGCGCGGCGAGGTGTTTTCTTGTTGGGGGGGGGCTGCGGAAGTCGAATTTTGATCGCGCGACCTACGAGCCGGGGCTCCCTGTAGACGTCTTTCGATTTTGTTCAGGGCTGGGATTTTGCGGTTGAAGGGGACTAGGATCTGGTTGCTTAAATCTGTTAAAGAAAGATTCCTCGAGTTTCCGCACGGGTCTGGGGGAAAAGTTGCGTACTTTGGAGGCGGCCAAAGTCAACCAATCCTTTTGCCAGTTGCAGCCTCCTTTCCTTCTGAGGGTCTGATATTGGTTGATCAGCTCCCAAATTAACAGAAGGAACCCCCTCAAAAGTGTTTCCTCGTTTTCATTTGTAGGGGAGTACCCTTTTCAACCACAACTTCTTCCTTTTTCAAAATGCTCCTTGCGTTTTGCTTGAAACGGGTGTATTTTGAGGGTACCCCCTTTGTGGCTTTCTGCATAGGGACACGTCCAGGAAAACCGATCCTAAGAAAACAACGACACGCCAACGAACGTCACCTCACGGGAATTTTGCATTTGGCCGCAAACGCCAAGTTTCACCCAGGCAGTGATTGTCTTTTGGTTTTCCTTGTGGCTTCCCTTTGAACAAAATACAACACATGTGGTACCCACAACATTCCACACTCATTTGCCTTCCGCGATTTTGCCCCCCAGACTTGCTCTTCTTTTTGGCATTTCGTAGATTAAGCTGTGACAGTCTGTCAATTGACGGCGGCTAGAAGGCAAATCCGTATCTCGCAGTTTGATACGTTTTTGGGCAACAATGCCAGCCCCATGGTATCCTCAACAAAAGATGTACCCGAAAGGCATTTAAGCGGTTTCCTTGATTCATGGTGGTTTTCATGGAACTGAGAGGAGGCATTTCCTGCCTTGTCTACTCAGGAACGAGGAGCAGAGCCAAAAGGAGCAGGAGGAGGAGGAGCAGCAGCAGCAGGAGGAATTAGAGGCGGTTGGGGTTGAGGTTCCACCATCGCCTAACAAGATCCAGTCCGGCGACGACAGTCCGCAGTTGGACACTTGCGAGGACCTTCGTTTCGTCGAGGCGAACTTAGGCAAATGTATTACTCAAAATAGGGGTCGGTCACGGTTTTGCGGAATGCCACGCCACAAAACTCCCAAATTGGTACCATGAAATTCCTTGTTGGGGATAGTATGAGGACGCTGCAAGCTAATTTCGAGCACGGCTTACTTGGAGGTCAAGTGCGTTGTGGGGTTCGGAGCATGGCTTCCTGGGGTGTTGGTTCCTGTGGGTTAGGCAAGTTTTTTTTATGACGTGGTGTTTTAATGGGGCTTTGACTCCGATTCAGAGCGTCACAGATCCGGGCATGAAGCTCCACCATGGAAGCTGGGCGACCTGGCAGGATATGGACTTTTACAAGGACAACGAGTCCATGAAAGTGCCCTCCACCTTTACTGCGCCCGGGCCGGGCATTTTGTTCATTGGAGGAGCCTGGTGCCCCCCCCTCCCAATAAACCTTGCCCCAAAGGGACCCTTGGGGCTCCGACTTTAAAGGGCGGAAATGGGTGAGGAACCGAACCAAATTTTTGTACCCTCGTGTGGACTGTAGGGCTTGAAGCACCCCTGTTCAAGGCTTGCTAAGCCCCTTAAACCGAGGGGTGTAGCAGGGATCCCCCAGAGGGAACCAAAGGATGGATGTCTTATTTGCTTCCAGTCTCCGGATTTTGCACCTGAAATGCCAAGCCCTTGCAGGAACTAAATAAGTTGTTCTTGAGGCCTTCGAACCCAGACTTGGCACCTGCCTATCCGCGTTTCGCAGTGCGCGAAAACGCGCGAAAGCGATGGCGCACTGCTCAGGAACCACAAACACGGCGTCTCCGCTGGGAGATGGGCTTGTTTGGGAAACCAAGTAAAGTATTGGGGGTCCGTTGGCAGACGCGCCTTTTGGCGTTTGTGGATCTGTCTCAACATGAGGGGGGCCTCTACAGGAGGCCTACCTGGCTGAGTGCATAAGAGGATCAGCTGGCTCAGGGCATTGAACCCAGTGCTTCCTTGGGTTGTTCCTCCCCAAGTGAGCAAGGGAATAACCCTGATTACTATAAAGGCATATATTTAGTTAGAATAGGGTAAGAGCTGGCAAGCCACACCACTGATGATCAAAGTCATGATCTTGCGTGCAATTGTTTGGCCTCTATGATTTTTATCATGGAACCACCTCCAAAGTGGTTGGTGGACAGGAACCCCAACCTAAACGATGCCCACCATCTCGGGTGCCCAATCAATATTCACACCAGTATGTTACCTGCGGACCCTTTGGCAAGCTCCAGCTCTTCCTTCGCCCGTCGCTTTCATATCACCCAAAACCGTCCGCTCGGTTTGGAGGTTTTTCCTCGTTCGCTCGGGCTGAAGCAAGGAATGCCAACATGGGGAGCAACGGGACGCGTCATGTGCATGGCTCTGAAATCCGGAGTCCCGAGCCCTTGAACATTTCCCCCATGGGTCGTGTTAGGTTTAGTGGCAAAATTGAGCTGGAATCGCCATGTGTTTCAAATGGTGGTTTGGATTGGTTTGGGGATTTCAGCCTTTGATTCTTGTGGGTAAATGGGAAGCCACCAAACCACCAAACCACCAAACCACCAAACCACCAAACCACCAAACCACCAAACCACCAAACCACCAATCCACCAATCCAAATGAGCGTGTTACGACAAACCCAAATCACCAATTAGAGGGAAGCTGAGTGTCTGGTATGCCTTTTCGGCACTGACTGAGGAAATGTTTCTCTTCAACGCTGCTGTCATGGGCTACGGGAGCGCCGTTTGGATGAATGCCGCCCGGGCTGAAATATGGCGGGGAGACGTGGGCTCGTCGGAGCAGAGGCGATGTTGCATTTCCTGAGAGTCACTGCACGTTTTGGCGATGAACAAAATCCATTTCGCACCGTTTGAAACCATGGGAAGCCTTTGTTGGCATCGCACCAGCCAGGGTATTAAAGGCAAACCAAGGGGACGGGACTGTACAGTCAACGGGCTTACAGAGAAACCACTCGAATTCAAGGCATTTTGAGGGTCCCACCGTTTTGCTTGGCTCAAAAAAAAGAGCAGATCCAGCGGTGCTCAGCGCTGACAAAGCGGCTTCGGCCCCAAAAGGCAGCTGTGACAGGCGAATTCCTCTGGCAAGGGCAAGTGTCCACTGGGTCGTTAAGCCTCGTGGGGCCGGCCTCAGAGCCACCTGTGGTATTTCTAAGTCCCCCCAGGATCGTGCCCAGCTTTTTTGGGGAGGGTTCCCCTACTAAAATAGACCACAGGAAAAAGGGTGCCCTTATTCGAACCTC